ATATTATTCGAAATTTCAGCCTGAAAGCGAAGTATTGATAAACGCCGTGGGTAATGGCAGTCGCAGCGCGATACTTTGAGTTCGACAAAGCTCAACGCGACAAATTGCTGCCACAGAGGACCCCTCCCTGATGTTCTCAATTGTCAAAGTGGCACGTGACCAGACCCAACCAGGGTCTCTCCTCGCTCGCTCCAGGTGGCGGTAAGATGAGGGACCCTGGGAACGAGGTTGTGTCGTCTGTTGACCGTCGTTTTAAGCTTAACTGGATAATATTTCTATACTATCTCAAAGGGATGTCATTGGTTTTATGAAAAGCTTTTATGAAGCTAGAGTTATTGACGCTCCCGTCCTATACGAAAATTGAGGACTGGGCGCGCTAAAGTTTCCCGCGTCCTTTGCCGTTCCGTCTTGGCCTCCCCGTCCTTGTATCGTATAAAGGTCCCTAATGTTGCTTGTGATGCAAAGGACATTAATGCCATGCACTAAAATTTTTTTCGCAATGTAGAACTGAATCTGTAATCAGGCCTGTTACATCACTGGGCGACTCAAATGGCACAGAAATCACGAATTCACTGTTCGCGGTAATTCATTCCTCTCAAGGAAACTCGAATCCCTTTTGAGTGATTATTCAACCCTTTGGAGGGATTATTCAGCCCCTGTAAGGGATAATTCAACCCTTTCGAGGGATTATGCAGCCCTTTCGAAGGAGTACGCATCCCTCTCGAAGGATTATGTAGTCAGAGCACAACGCAGTCAATTCCAACGCGATTACTTGAGAGTTCCTCTTAAGGAAGATATGACTCTCTTGGTAGAGTGCAAACAAAAAGCTTTAGTTGACGAAATCATGACCATGGAAAACACATCCACAGAAGCTATGTCTGGCCATTATGTAACTAGTACTGTAAATACTCGGAGTGAAATACAATCTTTCCAGTGTTTACATTTAAGGCAAGATACATGTAAGAGTAAATCTTTAATCTTTAATCAGTATACTTATCAGTTGCTGCATGTAGGAAAAGAAACAGAGAACCATCTAGATTACCACGTGAAGTTTTTAACTCAGTTAAACGCAGAAAAACTAAGAGACAGAATTACAAAACATGTTTAACTGGAGAAGTGTTCACAGCAAAGACGTGTTTACGTTCTGCGTAGCCTCATTTTGATGTTAAATGTTGCCAATTAAAATTTGTAAACAAAATGGCGGTCAATGGGTTTGATCGCAGTGTTCTCTCTTCGTTATGGCAGTCACGGCTAAAGGAAACCCGCAAAATTACTCAAAACCAAGAACGGATTGCACAGAGACGACTTCGTCGTTATCTTCGTCGCAGACGTCTCGTTGCCTCCTTGTTTTTTCTGTTTCTCACTCGATATTTTTCACGCATTTACCTGTTCGTCGTGTCTGGACCAAACCAAGGTCGAAGTTGTTTTGGGAAGAGACGTGCCAGGGGTTGGAATGAACGAGACTGGGTAGAGAACTTCCGAATGTCCAAAGAAGCATTCAATCGTCTGTGTGTGGAACTTTCCCCACATATTTTGAAAAGGGACAAACTTTAGAAAAGCCATTGCAGTGCGTCATCGAGTGGCGACAACATTATATTGGCTTGCGGACACTGCACAGTATTGAACGATCGCAAACCTATTTGGTGTTGGGAAATCCACTGTTTGTGGTATTGTAAAGTAGGTATGTGAGGTGATTGTGTGAATTCTTCTTCCCAGATATATTTACGTTCCCCGAAGTCGACAGGAGGTACAAGAGAAGATCGATGGCTTTGAAAGTCGCGCTGGGTTTCCGCAGGTAGTTGGCGCAGTCGATGGTTGCCATGTCCCCATAATTGGCCGGTCCTGAGCAAAGTCCGGATGACTACATTAATCGGAAAGGATTCCATTCGTTAATCCTTCAAGGCCTAGTGGATTTTGATTATCGTTTTCTGGATATTTGTGTTGGATGGCCGGGTAAAGTGCACGATGCACGCGTTTTTAAAACTCTCCACTGTTTGCTCTGTGTTGCGCTCGAACTTTCCTCCCGCCCGACATGTCGGTGATGATATCTGGTGTGCGAGTTCCTCCTCTGATATTAGGTGACTAAGCTTACGCCCTCAGCGAATGGCTGTTGAAACCATACACAGAAATTTGACCCCGGATGAAAGCACTTTCAATATCAATATCAATAACAATAGCACGACGAGAGTGGTAGTTGATAATGCCTTTGGTCGATTGAAGGGGAGGTTCAGGAGTATCAGTAAGAGACTAGACTTAAATGTTGAAAACT